AAGGATCTGCCGACCAACTTTCGCATCAACAGTCTCCTAGATGTGTTGGCAATCAAAGAGTGTAACACTACGGCAGTCAAATGTGGAAATTGCGACAAAAAGAGCTCCCAGAGTTTGTACTGCTTCCAGTGTTGTGCATTCTGGTGTGACGACTGTATTACTGGGCACAACATAATCCGAGCTAATAAAGAACACCGCGTGTTGGCGATTAAAGACTTCCAAGATCAAGACATCGAGGAAGTGTTGAAACGACCAGCATTCTGTAGAAAGCCAGGACACGAAAAGAAAGAACTGGAATTCTTATGTAAGATCTGTGAAGTTCCCATATGCAATTCTTGCGCCTTGACAGATCACGAAGGTCACGCCAAGATGTTTTTGGAAGAAGCTGCAAATGAACGTAAGTTACAAGTGAAATCTGCGATTGAATCTCAGAAAGAAAAAGTGAAAATGAAGAAGAATGAAATCACCAAACTTGATGAAAACTGTGTTAAAATTCAAGAACACGCCGCCAGTGTGAAAAGAAGAGTGGAGCAGTTCGTCGAGACAATATTTCGAGTGATCGATGCAAAGAAGCAGGTGATTATTAATGAAGTTGAGAACCAGGCAAAAAAATCCCTCCAACGTCTTAAAACTAAAAAGAGCGAGATTGAAGATGACGTGAGCATGACCGAGGCAACAGTAGACAAAGCTGAAACACTTTTGAAACGAAACGCAAACGCCGAAATCATGCAGCCAAACCAGTTTCTAAACAAAATATTTCAGGAGGAAGTTGGCCAAGAAAACTCAGCCGATCGTGACGGGGTAAACTTTCTTGAGTTTGATTTCGTGAAAAATCAAACGTTACTCGAGAATATTAGCACTGAAAATGTTGGCTCCTTCAAACCCGTACTTTCCAAGACCAAACCGCATCTGTCAATTGTCTACGGAAAAGGAGTAAATGAAGCGTTTGTCGGACTTGAAGCAGAGTTTGTTTTGACAACAAGAAATGCTGAAGGAGAACAATGTTATGACGAACGTGACTGTGTAACAGTGGCAATCAGCAATCATCAAAGCCATGATTGTGCAACGAAAGCACGAGTCCAAGATAACAACGATGGTAACTACAAAGTCAGCTATCTTTCCAAAGAAACTGGACAATTTGATTTAACAGTAAAAGTGAATGAAGAATATATCCGTGGCAACCCCTTTGCTGTGGAGGTCAAACCCAGACAGTTCAAACCTGTTTTATCGTTTGGACAAGAAGGCTCAGCTGTTGGAATGCTAAGACAGCCCTGGGGAGTAGCAGTGAATGAACGTAATGAAATTGCAGTGACTGATCATGGTAACAACAGGATTCAGGTATTTAGTAGTGATGGAACTTTCTTAAGATCGTTTGGTAGGAAGGGTGATAAACAGGGAGAATTTGGCTTTCCGAGCGGGATAGCTTTTGATAAGCATATTTTAGTGGCGGACAGTAGAAACCACCGAGTTCAATTGTTCAGTGAGCAGGGTGAGCACCTGAACCAGTTTGGTGGCAAAGGAAATGTTGATCAACAGCTAATGAATCCACATGGAGTGTCTGTTAACTGTGACGGAAATATTATTGTTGCAGATTCAGGTAACAAACTAGTTAAGATCTTTTCTCAAGGCGGCCAGCTTTTACGGAAACTTGGCGGGGACGGCTCTTTTACCTTTCCCCATCACTGTGTCCAATATGACAAATATCTTATAGTGTCAGACAGTCATGAACATAGTATCAAAGTGCACGATAGGGATGGAAATTTCTTGTATAAATTTGGAAAGCAGGGCGAGGGGGACGGGGAGTTCAATGCTCCTCGTTGCTTGTCCGTCAGCAAGGTAGGACACCTGATGGTCTGTGATACATTGAATCACAGAGTTCAGGTGTTTAAACTGAGTGGGAATTTTGTAGGAAAATTTGGAAGAAAAGGCAGCGGGACAGGAGAGTTTCATTACCCATTCTCTACAGCATTTCTTAGTGATGGTAGGATAGTTGTGACTGATTTCAATAATAATCGCATCCAGATTTTTGAGTAGAAATGATATATACTCACCTATGACATAATTCGAATAAATTACGTTATGTTTCACATTTCTCTCATTATTTTTATAATGCTAAGAAAATGATTTACAAATCGAAAATATTTCTGACCAGGTTAAGCGACCATAGTCATGGGTAAACAAGTTTGGTCTTAATTGGTTGTTAGACTTGGGTCTGGATGGTAAGTTCAGGAAGTAAAATGTTGTATTTTGCGATTAAACCACATTCAGAACCTCTCCCTTGAATAGAAATACAGTTATTCAAATGTAACAATATGGTTGATTATATTTGATAGTCTGTGTTTCACATGTAGAATAAACTGAGTTAAATGGTATTGTTTGTTTACAAAACATTTTGTAGTTAGTAGTTTACACTTTTATATTGCTGTAAGAAAACGACAGTGGCCTGTGTAACAGGAAGCGTTGTCACCGAGGTAGCTTAAAAGATTAGCTTGTAAATTGTAGTTTGTTCTGAATTAACTTTTCCAAAAGAAGTTTACACTTTGTATTGCTGTAATTAAACACTGCAGTACTGTGCATTGTGTTACATTTGTCCGATTACGTGACAACTTAGCTGCTATTATAGACACATTTGTAACGTCTGATAAGAGAAGTGTTTTTTTTAATAAATGTTTTTATTCAACGTTTTTGTGAGAGTTAATGGTGACACATAGCACTGTGGTAGAGGTTTGGTGTGCAACAGCATACTTGAATAATTTTGATTCGTGAATTTCTGTGGAACTTCGCCTCATGATATCGAGCCCAATGTATAAAGAAAACCCGGGTGTAACGAAGGATATAGTCTTGAACGTGAACTTAATAGCTTCCATCCTTTTAATTTTAATACAATATGAACTTGTTACAATTTTTTTCCGAGTAGCAAGCTTTAAAATCAAACGCGACGAGGAGTATAGAAAAGCAGAAACGCTTGAGGTACAGTAGACCCGCCTTTCAATGGCTTGCATTTTCAATGGCTTTACTGTTGTTTCACATTTCAATTGAATTATATTCTTTTAGGTAATTATTAGAAAAATGTTTTGAAAAGAACTCTAGTAGAACGAACCCCTGTTCAAAGAACAACTTGGTAATTCATTGCATCGAGGTTCCACTGAACTCCTCTCCTATCTCCCACTGTAAAATCCAGGTGATCTGGTGACGTCATTGCGCGAGACTGGAGAGAAAATTTTATTGCCGTATCCCATAAGGCAGCCCACGCCTAGTCGTGAGTTTGCATTTGAATGATGGCGGTCACTGGCAAAGCGAGTGTTGATGCTTTTCACAATTATTTTGTCTTGTCTTATACCACGCTTGAAACTCGGAATTGTGCTGTAAATATGAGAAGTGTTGATTTGGACAGTTGGGAAGTCTCTTTCGACGGTGAATCTTTTCTATACTTGGATGGAAGCGATTTGAATACTTGAATCGCACATCATGCAGCGCTGGCGCATCGCATTGTAAGCTTGAAACTCACTTGGTGTTTTATTTCAATTTGCTTTTAATAGTGTACTTTCTATACAGTATTAAAGGTACCGTATTCCATCGATCTCTAGTTTGCTTTTATTTAGTCTTTCATTTTATTATTATCGTATGTCGGCCACAACACTAGTTCGGTCGACCATTCGATCAACCGCTCTCCAACTCAGTAAAGAAAAAAAATTAATAATCTGAATGGCACACGCCAAGAATTGCTAGAAAAGATTGGCCCGACCTTTAATAAATTTGGAGAGGTAGCTGTGGGCTATGCTGACATTGAGAATTACATTACACTATTTCTTATTCAGTCAGGTGTACAGAGTGCAGTTACAACACCAACCAACAGCATCATGATGGTTTCTCATGGCTGAAATGGTCACGCCATTTCACAGGGGAGAAAAGTGTCAGAGTGAAAATCATTGAGCCTTATAATTTACTGAGCACAGTGTAACAGTTGCTCTTTCGTTGGGAAATGACGACTATGACACTGTCCAAAAATGCGCAGGGGCAGTTTATGAACAGCTTACACAACTTCAAACAATCAAACGTGCACTAACCTATTGACGCCCGAATGAAATTGCCCCCGACCCACCCCTAAACCATATGCGGAGTAACCACAGACACAAGATCAGGTTTCAAGACATTGTTTATTTCAACAAATGAAGGGTCGAAATATTAAAAAATAGTAATAAAAAGAACTCAGCCTGATGTACAAAACTGGCGAGGAAACAAGAAATTATATCATTTCCTTACCGCACGGCAAAATGTCTCACAGAAGCAGAGAAAATTGACTTTGCGAAAATGAGTTAATTATTGACGTTGGGGGACAAAACGAAACCAAATACAACCGAATTTCATCCTTGTAACGGCTAACATTTGAGAAAACAACAAAAAATAAAAGCAAAGAACTCTTGTAAAATCAATCTGAAAACAAGAAATCGAGTAATTTCTTCGCCGCGCGACGAAAATATGACGGCGCTGGAAAGAAAGATGAAAGTCGTAAATCAAAAAGACGACAAAAACAAGCCAATCATTTTGAGATCAGTCGTATCTCAACTGTGTTAATTAGTGGCCATTTCGGTTCTTTTCCCAGCCTTTCTGTAGTAGCTTAATATAAAGACGCGGAAATATTTGAACGAAGCGAATAAACAAAATAAACAAAGCGCCTGGAGGTCGCCGTAAATTAAATATGCAGAAATCCAGCGTGCAAGTT